CTCTCATAACTCACCCAACATGCGATCCAATATTTCCGTCGAGATTTCTTACTTCAGCTCCCGTTGACCTGTTAAAGAAATGTGTGATATGAAGATCTCGAAATAGGTGTTGTAAATTCTGCGCAGAGAACCGTTTTTAGAAGGCAATTTGAGATAGCCACTTGCCAAAATGATCCGCCTAGCATGCAGGAATAGGTTTCGGGTGCTCTTTAAGAAGAGATTACAACCTTAACGTCCCGATTTAAATATTAAACAACAAAAAATTCTATAGAATTCATTATATTCCTAATTTGCATATGGATTTAATATTCTCATTACTTTCTTTAAAGAATGTAATGCAATTCTATATAAAGTCACAGGAAATTTCTGAATTGATCATATCTCACCAACACGTGTGAATATGCATGTGTGTTGTGTTTCATCACACAACCCGTGTAAATACATCTGATCCAAGCACCATATTGCCTATACTTTTAATACTAAGCACTGGTCAGAATTACTCACTGAAGTGGAACAAATTCGTCACTGACACTCATTGAAACTTGATGGGATAGAGGCTGGCACCCTTCGTCAGAGTCGCTGCTATCCTCAACTACTGCGAAGAATTTCAAGACAATCTTAATGATTAAGAAAAATGACAGAATCGGCATCTGAAACTAGAGAACTTTCATTATGCAGCGTTGTACGCGCAAAACTTGAACAAAAAAATAACTCATTGCGATGCAATTCAACTGATATTACAAGAGCCCGCTACTGCTAAAAAAATATGTTTAAAAATAATGTTACATGCGGATCGTGATGACCATATTACTACTTATCCGGATACATTTCAAAGTGCATCCGATACAGGGTTATGTGATCAATAATAATCGTTATAAGGTCAAACGATTGTACTTGAGAGATTGAACTCAAAAGCGTTTCTTTCTTTGAGGACATCTAAAAGAAAGGGTGTTCAGAAGTCGCCCTCACACCCTACCACAGCTAAGGGAACGGATTGTTGCAAAGGTTATGGCCATACCTCGCCATATGTGTGAACGTGCTGTATAAAACTTCCGAGAACGACTCCTACAGTGTGTTACAACTAACGGCCACCATCTTCCTGATATTATTTTCAAAACATAAGTATTCTAAATGGTATTTTATGGTAACCTCGAGGAAAACAAACTTTCTTCTTTATGTATCTCCATTACTCTTTTATTTCGTCTCAAAAACTAACTGCTCAATCGGTTCTGCCCCATCCTGTATAAATGACTTACTTGAGGTGGTCGCAGTGCATTTGACTGGGAAGCGTTTCCACCGTTTGCCAACACGAGCCTTCTCTTCAGCTAAATAATTTACATTTCCTTCTGAAGGCCACCAAACATAAATTGCTTCATTTTGTTTTACCAGCCATTCTGAGGGAACTACCTGCCATGCATTATTGTCGAAAAAAATGCCTACAAACTGTTTATACATGACTGAAAATCTGTAAAAGCATAGTCAGGCATTAGTACAGATCCTGAGATCAGTGGAGCCTTCAAACCTATTAACACAAACAGCAGTTAAAATTTTTAAGAACCCCTACCGAGCCGGATGACCAGGAAAGTATTTTCCACCTCTTAACCACAAAATTTTCTTGAGCTGGAGAAACTTAACTTTGAACTTATTGCTCATTGTTGGTGCATATTATCAGCTACTTTAATTTTGCAAATAAAAAACAAAGGAGTAAAAATACTTTCTTCTGGGTGGATGGGGACTGGCATTTCTTTATTAACAATCTTTTTATTACAGCAGAATCAATACAAAATTTATACAATCTCAAAGAAATTGAATATTATGATGATTAATTAGACGTTCTAACGTTATACTTTGAAAAAACTTGAAGTTGTCACAAATAGGATTGAAAAAAAAAAAATTTCTAAAGCTATCAAGACACACTATATATAGACAAAAACTTTCAGTGAAAAAACAAGCCAAGTGCAATATTGTGCCTAACGCATTACAAGTAAAATTATGCACAGTAATTATATCTGTGGCTTCCTCTCTGCTTGTGTGAAGTAGACATAACTCCTTCATTATTCAGTTATGCAAGATTAGGCAGACAACATTATCTATTACTGGAATGGGATATTAAATAGTAATGTCCATTTACATCCTAAATACTAATAATTTTTGTGAAATCCTTTGTGAAATAAGAATCAGCGGCGCATTGTTGCATGCATAGAAATTGCTCAGAAGTTATGAACATCCAAGTGATAGTATGATTACGTTAGGAAGTTTGCAGTCATTTAGAGTGTAATAGCTTGATCGCAATGTAGCCATCATTTTTGGGTACAAGCATCATTTTTGAATGAATTTGTTCAAGAGTTACAACAGCCTGCTTGTTGCTTGAGTGTACTTTATGAATACCTAACAATTGTGAATCAACTGGATTGAGGAAAAGCGATTGCTTCTGAAGAATATCAACAGTCAGTGAATTTTTATCAATTGCGGTGATGACTGCAATCTCCCCAGACTTTAACATGATGCAATTATCTCTGTCTCCAATGAGACCACTTTTCAAGAGTGAACCACTTGCCCAGATACATTTATTGGTTTTTCCCATTTTAACTGCAGATTTCACACTTGAAAATTTTTTATTTTCCAGGCTGAGGTGTCTACAGATTTGTTCTAATGGTTTATTCCTTCCAGACAACCTTCCTTTTACAGCGACACCTAAGTAATTCTCAAATGGGAAACAGGACACTGTATCAAGGGAACCATACTTCACATAATCATCTGGAAGATGTATTAGAGAGTGTACATTATATGACAAGAAACTCAAGCCATATAATTCTTTGGAACTGGAAACAAAATTTTTTAGCAGAGTACGAGCATTTTCAACATTTGACATTTGATTTCTACTTAGTAAAATCCTCATGGCCAAACTGAAATTCAAGAAATGCAGATAATAAGATTCAGGAAGAATTCCTGAAAATACCACAATGCCTGCATACAACATAAACAAACGTAGTTCAGTAGCTTTCCAGTAGGCCAGTGATCCAAATCCACCAGCTAGCTTCCTGTTGAAATCTGAAGGCACATGAGATGAGAAAGCATCTATTTCATCATCCAGAAGTTTCTGCTTGGTGTTGTCAAGATTGCATTTAACTTCTCCTTTTTTGGAGTGCTTTAACCTGCAGAGCATTCTTTTCATAACGCCTAGGCAAGTTAGATGCATGTAGTCTAGAGGAAAGTTTGAAACCATTCCAATACCAAGTCTTTGGATGATGGATTCAGGCCCTTCCTTGTGATGAGCTGGGTCAGTTTGAGCCATAAAATCTCTATCACTTCTCAAAGGAGCATTCATTTTATCGAGGACTACATGACCTCCTGCATAGGTACCTTTTTGAACACAACGTTCACAGCCTGCATAGGAGTTATGATTAACAATTTTCTTCAGCACAGAACGAGCAGGAGCATCACAAACAAAGGCTTTTATGCAGACTTTGATATGTGTTGTATCAATTGTCAATCCTTTACCAAGCATTAAGGACATTTCTTGAACAAAATCTTCAAGATAATCATTTACATCAGGCATTTTATTTGAATCGCCAAACTCTGAAAGGTACACTCCCACACAAATTATTTTTGGTTCCTCGGGGATACACAATTCCAATAATATTGGGTATGCATGAAAATTTCTTGCATCATGATAGAGGGGTATTCCATCAATGTTTATGTTTAGAAAAAGTTTGGGGTCTTGAAACTTGGCTAGTTTTAAATGATTTGAAATGCTCTCTTGCCAATTGTTCAAGTGTGCATACCTACCATGATGGAGTTTTTTTATTGCAACGTCAACCTGGCCTTCCTTTTTCAGAGTTTTGGCAGTGAGAATAATACCCGGGAAAAAAGAATGCAGATGATGCAAGAGGCAGTTCATTTGCTGGTTGGGAAAATTGGGGCAATCAATAGAAAAATTTCTTATAGCCGTCTCGATTTTAGTCACATCAGACAAGTTGGCTCTAGTTGCACCATTTTCATCAACAGCTTCTTCCAAAGTAGGGACTTCTTGGAGTAAATTATTCCCAATGCTTGTTTCCAGAAGTAATGGCTCATCAGGCTCAATACTTTCTATGGAACCAGGTCCTGCATTTGATGAAGACGTTCCTGGAGCAGTTTCCGCAGTTCTCCCAACAGAATCATTTTGTAAGCTGGCAACATTTCTTGATTTATCCAGTGACTCTTCATCATCTGATAAAATTATGCAAGACGTAACTGATTCAGTTGTCAACTCTTTATTTATTTTATCGTCAACTTCAACAATTCTACGTCGTTTCTGCCTAGTAGACAGTTCACTGTAAGGTTTCTGCTCCATGCTTAATACAATCTGAAAATATTATCTATCAATTGATCACCTTTAATTTTATTATTGTTAAGAAACTGGATGCTATCATGTTATATTAGAGTAACATTAAAAAAAAGCTCTAAATTATAAATTAATTTTTTCTAATATGCTAGCATGAAAATTAATAATAATATATTAAAGTAACTTGATTGAACATATGAATTTAATGTTATCATTCAAAAATGTTCAATATTGGCTTTATCAATCAAGCACAAAAGAATGAATCTATTAAAAATAAAATATACTAGATAGTATATATTTATTTTATGATTTCTTTCAAGTGCAGTGACAAAAAAGTGACATTACTCCCATAGACAGTAGAAATTAAAAATGCAGGTAGCCTAATTGGCTAATTTGGCTTTGAGAAATAATGGTCACAACATACCACGGATGCGTGATGAGCATATATAGGTACTTTCTTTGAACCAACACCAATTTTTTACCAAAAATTTACTTCAAACTTTATTTGCCACTGCCTGCCAGGCTGCTTGAACTTGCCTGACTTGTGGAGGGTGGAATGGAGGAACAAATTCACTTATGCATTACACATCTACATTGTGATCTTATAGAGACTTATGCCATTTATTGAAGTGGATAATTCATTGTATATTTTTAGGAGATGGCTAAAGACCTTGATACGTCTTTGCTGGATTGATGTAGAACATGCAAAACACATTTAAAAGAATTTCACTCCATATTGACCAAATACCACATTATTGTGAGTGTGACCAGTGACCACACGGCCTGACAAGAGGATGAGTCATGAGAGCACGTTAAAAATAAGGAATCCTTTATATACAGGTATTCTCAGACCAGTCTGGTCCATTGCAATTCTAATTCACTTTAGAAATGCTATACTTATAGTAAAGATCTTAATTTAGGCATCTGATTAACATATCAACACAAGAAAAGTAGAAACACTATTGATGTTTGCTAATTGCTATGGCGCCGCCGCGTCGGAACTGTCATGGCAGCCGGCTAGGGAGTCACGGACCCGAGTCGGACACGAGAAATAATATTTTTACACTTTACTGTTTCAAAATTAGGAATATAATACATAGACATTAAAAGTAAACACCCACATCCCATTAGTTTTTGCAGTAAACACCCACATCCCATTCGATTTCGCATTCGAAGTAAGCTATGCTCAATAATTGTTTATTTAATCACATCACAAGTGGCGTCACAGGCAGGCATGGCGGCTCTATCAGCCATACCGGCGCCGTTCATGTAGCTATACTAGACCACAAGTCCCGAAGTACAATTGAATATTTCAGAAATTTTAAAGTCTAGCATAGCACAAGAGTCACGTTATCTCTTAAATCAACACAAAAGTTTATCATTTATGAGTAGACTTAAGGTTTTATCGAGAATTTAAACTTGATTCGGCTCGAGACTAACGTTGCACCACTTTCTACTACACGTCCATGACTGACTAACTACAATCTGAAGTCAAGCGAGGGACTGCCGAAAGTAGTCAAAAGAGAACCTGCTTTAGCTTTATTTAAATCATGTTATATAATGAACATTTTACACTGATTACATCGATGAGTGCCACCTATGCTCGCGCATCCTCTCGATTTATCAGCGTTTCAATGGTGATTTTTGGCTGGCGTGGCCACCCACCGTTACGCCACCTATAATCTACCATCGCCACCTATAATCATCGATGCGCCGCCTTTAATTTTTATTTGGGTATAAACGCGTTCAAGGACAGACTAGACAAGGCCATGCATGAGCATATGTTTAGTCCTAAAATGCCTCGTACCCTACGGAACAACTGATATCTAGAAGCGATTTTAAATCTACTGTCCGTTGAAAAGATCTGATCAAAAGGCCAGTCTAGTCAAGAAAAGTACAAGAATCGGTGACAGGCCTATCCAGGCCTATTCTTTAATGCCGAAGATACTATACTATACTAATGAGATACGGATGTTGTGTCTGAATCTCCTGAGACGCACGGCACGTGTGCTGTGATCTACAGAGACCTACGACACGTGCGTCGGTATCTACTGAGACTCATGGCTCGTGTGCCGGCATCCACTGAGACTCACAACACGTTTGTCGGTATCTACTGAGACTCACAGATCTGTTGTGTATCGCGTGTTGCCAGCAGCGCCACTCCGGACGCCTTCGCGCCGCAGTTCCTCCAGCAGTTGCTGCAGCTCATCCTCTCCCAGCTTGGGGCAGGTCAGCGTTATGGTCTCCAGTCTGCACACGGACCAACAGATGAGCGTCCACTAATCCCGTCTAACATGTCCCTGGTTGCACGTACCTACCGAGTGTCCCGTGTTCCCAGCGTGGAACAAACGTGTGGAACAAAATCAAATTTTTCATACATAAACAGTTAGCAATATTTTGAAAACAACTATTGGTTAGTAACACAACTGAAATAGACAGAATAGATACTGAGAATAGAATAGTTAAATAGAAGACAAGGTAACGGGAAATCTACACGGGCTTATGAATCTACCTTTTAACAATTCCAATCAAAAGTATCCAACAGCGAGTTGTGGCGAGGCTTTTATTTTAATATAAACATGATTTAAATCTCGCTTTTCATATTGATTTTCCGACACACTAGTGTCAAAAAACATTGGTAGTGGAATTTTGAATTTAAAAGTTGCTATCGAAAACGGGCGACATGATTTATTCGATGAAACGTTTATAATCGTGATTTTTTTGTTATTTATTACTTTTTATAAATTTCAATTACTTTGCGATTGAGGCAATTAAGTGATCACCAAACTGAATGCTTCCTCCTCTATCACAGGAAGTAAATAACCTTTTGGTATGAGGAGCGACTTTTTTGATGACCCCTGCGATGGCCTCACAGCTGCCGGACCCGGTGATAAACAGATGCGGCGGTGGCAGGGCTGGCAGACACACGTCAGCTCGTGGGCTGGGCGGGCTTTCGACCCCAGCGTCGTGCCCCTCCTGGCACGGCGGGGACAGGGCCGACTGGGGATCGGCAGACCAAGCGGCATCCAGCGGCCAAATGTACACGCCTGCGAGCAAACACCGACCAATATTACGAGTGGGAACTGCTGTGCTTATGGCAACATGAGATGCCAGACTTCACCCAGCACAGCTGCCTGCACTCACCCAGTGTGGTTGTTAGCTGTCACTACATGGCTGCCAACCAACGTTGCATGGCTACCAGCCTTCACTGCATGCTTACCAGCTTTTACTACATGGCTGACAGCCTTCATTGCATGGCTGACAGCCTTTGCTTCATGGCTACCAGCTTTCACTGCATGGCCGACGGCTGCCAGCACTCAATGCATGGCTGACAGCCTTCACTTCATGACTGACCGCCTTCATTGTAGGGCTGACAGCCTTCACTACATAGCTGTCAGCCTTCACTACACGACTGATAGCCTTCATTGAATGGCTGCCAGCCTTCACTGCATGGCTGCCAGCCTTCGCTAGATGGCTGCCAGCCAACGCTGCATGACTGCTAGCCTTCACTGCATGGCTGACAGCCTTCACTGCATGGCTACCAACCTTCACTGCATGGCTTCCAGCCTTCACTGCATGGCTGAAAGCCTTCACCGCATGGCTGTCAGCCTCCACTGAATGGCTGCCAGCTTTCACTACAAGGCTGCCAGCCAACGCTGTATGGCTACCAGCCTTCACTGCAGGGCTACCAGCCTTCACTGCATGGCTGACAACCTTCACTGCACGGCTGCCAGCACTCGCTGCTTGGCTAACAGCCTTCACTGCATGGCTGACAGCCCTCACTGCTTGGCTGCCAGCATTCAATGCATTGGTGTCTGCCGTTAATCAGCCTAGTTGCTTCGCCGGCCAACTGTTACTTGCTCATATCCAGCAGAGTTGTAAATATCTAGTCAGAGTGGTGCCCAATATTCCTTCAGCCTAATTGTCGGCCATCATACCGAATGTTTATAAGACATGGGAGTCCGCGTGGGCCTTATATGGCCTGTAAGGCACACATGTCCTACCCGTGAGGAGAAGATGTGGCCCATGGGCACACAGGCTGCTGTACCCGTGACGAACACGTGAGGAGATCATGTGGCCAGTGACGCGTTGATAAATTTTCATTTGTGACTTCGTTTACCGTGCAGCACGCCTCTCCAATGGCATAAAGCGTATTTGAGCCTTAATTAAACTAGGAGACGGCATCCACGTATAACGCATATTACAAGCAATTGAATATAAACTAAATAGGCAGAATATAAATATGTGGAAACTAAAATAAGCTAACTCAAAATTGTTCGGTTTATCCTTTGAACGAAACCGTTGAGCTAAATTTGGTCCTGCTGCACCAGTTCTTGCAAAGCTGCATATCCCAAACAACCCGCCCTCACCTAGGCCCTCATATTTGCCTTGCAGAGCGTGCAGACTGAGGGGGGCGGGGAGTGCAATGCACAGCTCACTTGTGGCCGTAGCCACGGACGCCACAGCGGCGACGCCAACTGCGCTGCTGATGCCGCAACGCAGCTCAGTGAGCTGACACCTGCGACAGAATTGTTTGTGATATATAAATATATTAACGAATTAAGTCATTCAACAATATATAATTATCCATAGGTAAAATATGGTAAGCATCTTCCCAGCGTGGTATTTCCTAGCATGGTGCATCCTAGCATGGAGCTTCCCAGCGTGCTGCTTCCTAGCATGGAATTTCCCTTCCCATGCTTCCTAGCGCCGTCCTAGCGCCTTGCTTCCTAGCGCCTTGCTACCTGGCGCCGTCCTAGCGCCTTGCTTCCTAGCGCCATGCTTCCAACACCGTGCTTCTTAGCGCCTTGCTTCCTAGCGTCGTGCTTCTTAGCGCCGTGCTTCATAGCACCTTGCTTCCTACTGCCTTGCTTCCTAGCGCCGTGCTTCCTAGAGCCGTGCTCCATAGCGCCGTGTTTCCTAGCGCCGTGCTTGCTAGCGCCGTGCTTCCTAGCGCCATGTTTTTTTAGCGCCGTGCTTCCTAGCGCCATGATTTCTAACGCCGTGCTTCTTAGCGCCGTGCTTCTTAGCGTCGTGCTTCTTAGCGCCTTGCTTCCTAGCGCTATACTTCCTAGCGCCATGCTTCC